CCCACTACCATGCCTGGCTAATTTTTGTATTTTCAGTAGAGATGGGATTTCATCACGTTGGTCAGGCTGGTCTCAAACTCCTGACCTCGTGATCTGCCTACCTTGGCCTCCCAAAGTGCTGGGATTACAGGCATGAGCTGCCATGCCCGGCCTAAGAATTTCTAATCAAGTTGGTGGGGCTCCCTCAAGTCAGTGGACAAGATCTTAGGTGAGGAAAGTAGACAACTCTGCCATGGGGTCACATCTGGGCAGGTGTTCTAGGTGGTGTGGCTCTGAAGCTGTATCAACATAGGAGTTCAGCATTGGTTCCACTAACCTGGTATGGATATCTCTACTTCCTTCTCCTGGCCGAGAAGGAGATTCTGGATGTAGCAGGACACATTATTCACGGAAGTGTCTCTGATGATCACTGAAGCAGCCACAGTGAACAAACCTTCTTCATCAGGATTCCTGGACTCTGATGTAGATGGAAACTTCTCTCCCTTGGAAGTTCTCCACTGCACCTGGGGCTCTGGGTACCATCCCACCGAGGTGCACTCCAGCTGAATTTCTCCATTCTCTTGAACTTGCATAGTGATGTGAGGGTCAGAGCCCAGAGCTATGGAGAAAGAATCTGAACTTAATGTTTCAGTGGACCCCTTTTGGGAGCCTTATAACTGTAGAGACACACAGTTTAAGAAAGAGAGAGAGAGAGGCACAAGTGGACTGGTAGTGGGAGGAACTCATCTCCATATTTCAATACACAAGGAAACTGAGGACCAGGCACAGTGGTTTATGCCTGCAATATCAGCACTTTGGGAGGCCAAGGCAGGATTGCTTGAGTCCAGGAAGATCCAGACCAGCCTGGGCAACATAACGAGACCCCAACTCTTTGGGCATAGTGGTTCATGCCTGTATTCCTAGCTATCTGGAAGGCTGAGGCAGGAGGACTGCTTGAGTTCAGCAGTTCAATGGTGCAATGACCTGTGATGGCAACACTGTACTCCAGCCTGGGTGACAGAGTGAGATGCTGTTTCTAAAAAAAATTTTTTTAAAGGAAACTGAAGTACCAATAAAAGGAATTTCATATACCTTATCAGAAAGGGATGCCTTTTTGGGATCAAGTCTTTGAAATGTTTGAAACAGCTTGGTGGGCAGACATGGGGGTGCTTGTCCAGCCAGCAAGAACACTAAGACCAGTAACTCAGAGGCTGGTTAGTGATCTAGGCTGAGAGTCCCAGAGCTGGCCGATAGCTCTGTGGTTGACGGCATTATGAGAAAGCGTTGGTGGGGAGGAGGAGAGCTAGGACTGGGTATTTAAGGACGAACAGAGGACTATCCTTGAGGATTGGAAGTTCTTTGCCCTGAGATTATAGTTGACAATTTAAGCTTCCTTTTTTTTTTTTTTTTTTTTTTTTTCCCGAGACAGGGTTTCACCATGTTGGCCAGACTGGTCTCGAACTTCTGACCTCAGGTGATTCGCCCGCCTCGGCCTCCCAAAGTGCTGGGGTTACAGGCGTGAGCCACTGCACCCAGACAATTTGAGCTTCCTTAAGCTTAAATTGGTGAATCAGAAATTCTCTTAAGTGGTCTCAACTTCATCTTTTTTCACAAAACGGTGGTCTAATGTAAGTAAACATACCGTTTTTCCTGTGTGTTCAGCCTACTTTTTTCTCTAATTCCACATGGTACAGAAAAACACTGAGCTGACTAGAAGAGTTCTTAAGGACATTTCCACAACCACGGGTTGAAATTCATATTCCAAGAATGTGTGTATATATAAGAATGTATATTCTTTTCATGGAAGGAGTTGCCACTTTCAGCAGATTCTCAGTGGTGTCTATCACTCATAAAAGGTGACAAATTTTATGCCATCAAATCTCTAGGTTTTTACCTTTAAGATACTTCTCCCCTAAAGAGAAAATGTCGAAATTTGAATTATACATGATGCTGTAACAGCGGGGACCCTATTGTGAAGCAGGGACCCACATTTCATCCAAGTATCTTTCAAATTTTATGTTTACCTGAATATATACCTATGTATATAGATATTACATAAAATATGTATATATGATATATATATATGAGAAAGGCAATTTGTTTGTATATGTTTTAGATCTGTTTAAGGCACAGTATAGTATCTAATAAGTCTATAATGTGTTTTTATTTTGAGACTGAGTCTTACTCTATTGCCAGGCTATAGTGCAGTAGTAGTGTGATCTCAGCTCACTGCAACCTCTGCCTCCAGGATTCAAGTGATGAACCTGCCTCAGTCTCCTGAGTAGCTGGGATTACAGGCATGTGCCTCCACACCCAGCTAATTTTTGTATTTTTACTGGAGACGGGGTTTCACTATGTTGGCCAAGATGGTCTTTATCTGCCGACCTTGTGATCCACCCACTTTGGCCTCCCAAAGTGTTGGGATTACAGGTTTGAGCCACTGCACTCAGCCTCTATAATGTTTTTAAATTGGCAAGGTCATTTCTTATGTGTTGTCTAATTTTATTTTATTCTTTTTTTTTTTTTTTTTTAAGACAAGTCTCACTCTGTTGGAGTGCAGTGGCACAATCTCAGCTCACTGAAACCTCCGCCTCCCAGGTTCAAGTCATTTTCTCTGAGTAGTTGGGATTACAGGCGTGACCCAGCTAATTTTTTAATAGAGATGGGGTTTTGCCATGTTGGCCAGTCTTGAATATCCTGATCTCAAGTGATCCACCCCAAAATGCTAGGATTACACGCGTGAGCCACCACACCCCACCTTTATTTTTTGTTGTGAAGACAGAGTTTCGCTCTATTGTCCTGGCTGGAGTGCAGTGGCAGCCATCAGCTCACTGTAACCTTGAACTTCTTGGCTCAAGAGATCCTCCTACCTCAGCTTCCCAAAGCGCTGGGACTATAGGAGCAAGCCACTGCTCCCAGCCTGTTTTATTCTTGAAAAATCATCTTAGATAAAAACTTCCTCAGTTTTACAGTAAAACTCAGAACTCATTTGCTTGATGTCATTCACTAGGAATTGAGAAAGTCAGACCTAAATGCATATTTTCCTCCTGAAAGCGTATTATTTTCAATCTCTTTCAATTCTGGCTTAAAACAAAAAAGCAAACAAGAGCCCCATCTTTTCTGTATGAATCAGGAATGTGACAAAGGACCATGCTCGCTAACCTTAGGATGTCAGTCCTTAGAAACTAATCCATGAAGCAGCCTTAAAGCGTGTGGTATGCCCACTGGAGCCACAAAGTGTGTAGTGGTGAAAAATACGATTTGGCCAGGCATGGTGGCTCATGCCTGTAATCCCAGCACTTCGGGAGGCCAAGGCAGGCAGATGACCTGAGGTCTGGAGTTCGAGACCAGCCTGACCAACATGGAGAAAATCCGTCTCTATTAAAAATACAAAATTAGTCGGGCGTGGTGGTGCATTCCTGTAACCGCAGCTACTTGGGAGGCTGAGACAGGAGAAACGCTTGAACCTGGAAGGCAGACATTGCGGTGAGCTGAGGTTGTCCCATTGCACTCCAGCCTGGGCAACAAGAACGAAACTTCATCTCAAAAAAAAGAAAAAAGAAAAGAACTTACAATTTAAATGTACAATTCTGGGACTCGATGAAGTAAATTATGGCGTACTTGTATAAAAGCACGTTATATAGCTTTTCCATGTATTAAGTTATTTCATGGGGAAATGCTTACTCTATTATAGAAAAAGGGCTGGAGGTAATTGAAATAAAGTTCTGCAATAAAGACGTTGCATTGCTCTCTCCATGTTCCACTCAAAACCCTTTCCCACTGATCTCCTATGGTAGGTAGTACCTTCTAGCTGTGGAGTCCTAATCAGGAGAAAGCAAAGAGGTGAGGCAGATAAGCTACAAGTCGTCCTTTTTCTTCATGGTCCAGGACACAGTCCTTCTGTGCAAATAACTCACAGTCTTCCTTCCTGTGTCCTATCACCAAACACCTGCAAGTTAGCTCACGGCAACCTTTGCCTTACAGGCACTGCACAAAGCGCTCTTCAAGGGACAGCATAAAAACCATTCTATACATTCTCCAGCCAGCCTTTGTTTTCTGGCAGTCAACTTCTCTTTTGCTGATCCTGTCCTTTGCCTCTTCGCGAAGTATTTTCATACTTTTCAAAGGAAATCTGCCTTTCTTTATCTATCTTGGTAAATTCTTTCTCCCACCGCGCCTCTGGCCCAGACAGTTGTCCCTCCCCAGCGACACCAACGTAAAAGAGAATGAATCTGATGGTTTCCAAAGTAACTGATATACACGAAAGTATACACAGCAGGGGAGTCGCGCGGGGAAGTCGCAACCCGTCTACTCACCAGCCACCTGCAGACGCACCAGGGCTTCTTGGTAGCTTCCATCCTCCCTGAAAAAGCACGTGTACTCCCCGTCGTCGGAGGCCCGGACGCTGCGGATCCGCAAGGCCACGCGCCCCTCGGCGAGGCCGTCCTGGACCAGCGCGGCGCGCCTGCGGTACTCGGGCATCTGCTCGGCCTCCTGCTCGCGCCCGTCCCTGTGCACCAGCACGGCCGGCGACACCGTCCTCCGGAACCAGCGCACCTCCAGGGACTCGGCGCTCGCGTTCGGGGACAGGCGGCAGGGCAGCTCGGCGTCCTCACCCACCACAGCAAGGACGGGCTCCGGGGGTCCAGTCACATTAACTGGAACTGCCGAAAAACGAGCGGGGTCAGACTGGACGGCAGGTGGGAGCTGCGGACAAACACGAACCAGGTTCCCGCCAAAGCGCAGTGCCCCGCGCTCTCTCAGTCCTTTGACAGCTGAGTTTGTCTGGATCCAGTGGAGGCCTCCAGGGAGAGCCAAGAGAGATTGTTTATTTTACATTTATAGAGATGTTTCCATTATGCAGGCCAGAGAGAGAGAGAGACCTACCTGAATCCAGCTGGGTCAGCTGGAGGAGAATGAGGGTGAGCAGACATCTGGGGAAGCCGCAGTTTGGGAAAACTGCCATCTCCGATCTTTCTGGGGCAGCAAGATAACTGGTGTGAGCCCTTCAGGAGCTTCAGCCTAGGAGACGAATGCACAGGAGACAACTACTGGCCCTGGCAATCTCCTGCTTTCCAAAGTCCTCTTGCAGTGCTTTCCAGCAGGGAGCATTCTGGTCATCTGCACCTGAAACCTCCTCTCAGCCTCCATCCCTAGTGTGGATTTTCAGTCTACACTGTGGTCATCACCTTTCCACCCACTACCCTAACTCCAACACCTTAGGAGAAGGTTGCTGTGAAGCGTCACACTCATTAGCTGGCTGCATATAAGATGAACAAATCTTGAAATCACTGCGCTAAAAAAAAAGTCTTCTTTCAAATACAATAATCTGGTATTTGCTTTTGGCAATGATAATAAAGATAAGGGGACAGAGGAGAAACGGAGTCCAAGGAAATGAACTGGAGAAGGAGAAAAGATGGGAAGAGGTGGAGCAAGAAGAAGGAGCTGAATCAAGCAAAAGGGCTTGAAGAGTAGAGGGCCTAGGACAAGGGAAAGGAGCTAGAGGGAGAGAACTATGCTCTGCCCTCCTGGCTGCTCGCTCGCTCAGGGAGCTGAGAGTAACCACACATACTGACCTGGGTGATCTCGGAGAAAAAGGCACAAGAGGCCACTGCTACCAAGTGAGAAAGCTGGCTGTGGCCCCAGGGGCAAAAGTTAAAAGCCAGCAGGAAAAGGAAGGGGGAAGTGATCTCAGGAAAGCCTTCCTCTAGGTGGCCTGGTATATTCACTGTGAGAAAGAAAAGAGAGAAAGAAAAGTTTTTCAGAGAGATGCAAACCTGGATTTGTCAGCTCAGAAATCAATGAGCTGGACTAAATGAAAGGGGAAGAGGAGAAAGGAAGAAGAGAGGCAAGGAAACACACAAATGAGATGTGAGAGCTTCAGCCAGTTATTTTCTCTCCCCAAGCCTCAGTTCTTTGATCTCTAAAATGGTAATATATATTGATCACACCTTCCTTGAAGAGGTGTTGGGTGGCTTAAACGAGACTAAGCAGGTAAAGTGCTTAGCACATAGTAGGAACTCAGCAGACGATAAACTGTTATTCTATTATTGTTTCTGTGGGTTGAAAAATGAAAGCCCAGGGGCCAAGGTAGCAGTAGCCTCTGGCTATAGCTCTTTTCGTTATTGGGGCGTCCACTGAAGGTGCTGTGTCTGTTGGCACAATTCCATCAAATGCCAGTCTTAAGGGTAGGCTGTGAATGGGCTAGCTCATGAAGTGTAATTCTGTTTACAGGGCCCCAAAGTTGCCTCCCTGACAGTTATTTCTCTTGAGGCAACTCATCATGAGGCCTACAATTCCTTATTTTATACTAAACCTACCTCTTATTGTTAAGAAAACATTAAAAAATATAGAAAAATATTTTTATTAAATGGAAGACACACTAATCTACCAACTAATGATAGCCTCAATCCACATTTTGCCGTATCTCCTTCCAAGATTTATTTTATGCCTATGTATGTCATAAAAATAATTAATTAGACTTTTTGTGTAGCACAAAACATTGCTAATAGTTATATAATTGCCATGGTTGTGGGACATTTGAATTTTATTTTTAAAATTTTTATTTATTTAGAGATGAAGTCTTGCTCTGTTACCAGGCTGGAGTGCTGTGGTGTGATCTCGGTTCACTGCAACCTCTGCCTCCCAGGTTCAAGTGATTCTCCTGCCTCAGCCTCCCGAGTAGCTGGGACTACAGGCATGCACCACCACACCCAACTAATTTTTGTATTTTTTGTAGAGATGGGGGTTTCACCATGTTGGCCAGGATGGTCTTGATCTTGTGACCCCATGATCTGCCAGCCTCGGCTTCCCAAAGTGCTGGGATTACAAGTATAAGCCACTGCACCCCACTTTTTTCCTATTATAAATAATACACTTTATATATGTCTTTATTTACAAGGTGGATAAGCTGTTTGATAATTTTTCAGAAATAGAGTCATCAGATCAAATGATGAGCATATTCCTTTTTTTTTTTTTGAGAAAGAGTCTCACTCTGTTGCCCAGGCTGGAGTGCAGTGGCGAGATCTTGGCTCACTGCAACCTCTGCCTCCTGGTTTCAAGGGATTCTCCTCCTGACTAAGCCTCCTTAGTAGCTGGGACTACAAGCAAGTGCCACCACGCCCAGCTAATTTTTGTATTTTAGTGGAGATGGGGTTTCATCACGTTGGCCAGGCTAGTCTCAAACCTCTGATCTCAAGTGATCTGCCTGCCTTTGCCTCCCAAAGTGCTGAGATTACAGGCATGAGCCACTGTGTCTGAACTTGTATGAGCATATTTCTAAAGTCCCTTCCTGAAATGTTGAACCCATCACACCCTCAATGGCTCACACCTGTAATCCCAGCACTTTGGGAGGCCAAGGCGGACAGATTACAAGGTCAAGAGTTCAAGACTATCTTGGCCAGCATGGTGAAACCCCGTCTCTACTAAAAATAAAAAATGAGCTAAGCATGGTGGCACTCACCTGTAGTCCCAGCTACTCAGAAGGCTGAGGCAGGAGAATCGTTTGAACCTGGGAGAGGGAGGTTGCAGTGAGCTGAGATTGCGCCACTGCACTCCAGCCTGACAACAGATCGAGACAAAAAAGAAAAAAAAAGAAACAAAGTGCCCTCACCTAATCCCTGTTAGCAATAAGAGTTGTCATTTCACATCTTTACAATTGGGATGGGTCAAGTTAGTCAAATTATTTTTTTATGCCTTTATGTGATAGCGAGCCTGGATATTTTTTATGTGTTAATTTGACATTTAATATTTAATACATTCTAGATATCAGCTTTTCAGGCCAGTTGCCCATTGTTTTCAAGACTGGTACTGGTGCTAGTTCTTAGCAATCTGTATAAACGTTTAACAACTGAAAAATATTAATCCTGGGCCAGGCATGATGGCTCACCCCTGTAATCCCAGCACTTTGGGAGGCCAAAGAGAGTGGATCACGAGGTCAGGAGATGGAGACCATCCTGGCTAACACAGTGAAACCCCATCTTTACTAAAAATAAAAAAATTAGCTGGGCTTGGTGGCGCGTGCCTGTTGTCCCAGCTACTTGGGAGGCTGAGGCAGGAGAGTCTCTTCAACCCGGGAAGGGGAGGTTACAGTGAACCGAGATTGCTCCACTGCGCTGCAGCCAGGGTGACAGAGCAAGACCAAGACTCCATCACACACACAGACACACACACACACACACACCCCTGTATTACATTTGTAACAAACATTCTTCCCAGTTTTGTTATTTATCTTTGAGTTGGAATTATGATTAAGACAAAACACAATTGTTCCAGTTTACCCACCAGACAGCCAGGAGAATGATCTTTCCCAAATGCAAATCTGATCATACCGCTTTTTGCTTAAAAATTCTTCAAGGTCTCCCTAGCGACCTCAGCATCCAGTTTAGGCACCTTAATCTGGTTACAAAAATGCTATAGGTATAGCTTGATCTGGTCAAGAAAATATTCTGGCAGTCTCCCTACCTCCTTCCGTGGGCCTTTTCTCCCTTCCCCTTCTCCTTCCCTCCCTGCCCACCCACAGGCTGAATCTGGAATGGGTGTGGTTACCTCCACCCACAATGCCTCTCAGGCCTCCAGATAGCAGAGCTTGTCTTCCCTCTTCCAGAATATTCTGTAACCTCTTTTTTTTTTTTTTTTTTTTTTTTTTTTTTTTTTTTTTTTTTTTTCTTTCACAAAATTTTTTTTCCTTTTTTTTTTTTTTTTTTTTTTTTTTGAGATGGAGTCTTACTCAGTTGCCCAGGCATGATCTTGGCTCACTGCACTGCAACCTCTGACTCCCAGGTTCAAGTGTTTCTTCTGCCTCAGCCTCCCGAGTAGCTGCGACTACAGGCATGCCCCACCATACCTGGCTAATTTTTGTATTTCTGATAGAGGCGGGGTTTCTCCATGTTGGCCAGGCTGGTCTTGAACTCCTGACCTTAAGTGATCCACTGGCCTTGGTCTCCCAAATTGCTGGGATTACAGGCGTGTGCTACTGCACCTGGCCTGTTCCCTCTTACCTTTATGATGAACTCCTATTCTTCCCTCAAAGGCTCGTGTAAGGGCTGCACCTTCTGCAATGTCTTCCAGATGCTGCATCAAGCAGATACAACCTCACTTCTAGGGCTTCTTCTGAATAGCCTTTGTCCCCAACGAGGGATGTAGACTTTCCTGGAAGATGGGCCAGGTGTATCCTGTGACACTTGGTCCCTTTCTCATGGCACACACCTGATCTGAACCCTAGTTTCAGAAGCAGATGTGTTTATTGTCATCTTTTGTTTCTAAGTTTATCTTCCTCTCTTAAACTTTCCCAATTCTTACTCCCTGCCTTCTCATCAGCATATAGACTGAAACAGAACTCGTGGCTTCATTCAGACCCACCATTTTTTAGCCTTCCTAGTTTGAAAGGCTCCTGTCCCATTTTCCCCTTCATGCTTAACTTTCTGATCATATCATCTATAATCTATTTCCCCTTCCTCATCTCACTTCTTTTATCAGCCCATTTGAATGAGACTTTTGTCTCATGCTTTATATTTTCATGAGATTGTTTTTGAGGGGTGGGGAGAAGAGCTGTTACTTGCAACTAAGGGAGCCAGACTGAAAAGAAAGGGGCTGGGGGAAAGAAGAAAGTACTTAGAGCTCAGCTATTGCATAACAGACACTATTCTGACTGGATAACATCCGGGTCATTTTGACAGAAACCAAGTCATCAGGCTCAGACAATGATCTCTGAAAGGCAAAGAGAGGCTCTCTGAATTTTCCAAGGTTTAGAGAACAGAACTTCCAGGATGCCCCTAGAATGCTCCTACCTGGAGAGGCCTTGTGAGGTGGTGCTGCTCTTAGAACTTCCTGCTCTTCCCAGGCCCACTGAAACAAAAACGACTTCCTCTTAGACATGAAATCATTTGGGCCAAGGAATCTCATATGATTCATATGGAACCTAATAATAAAATGTCAGCATTTGTTTTCCCTCCCCGCTTTTCACTATAACCTGTTAAAATTTCTCAGTGTTAGCCTCTTGTCAAATCCAATGGTTACTCATT